GTTCACTTTCTCAAAGGCAAAAAGGAAATTAAGGAAGTTTACATAATTCCGGGAATAAGGTCTGGAAAATAATGTCAATATATTTATAATTAATACACGTTATCTAAATGTCTTACACAACTGTGACATTTCTATACATAACATAACCCTGTTTAATCCTTCTTAACATACACATATTATGAGATAAATTAACTAATTAAGATAAAAATAATAATAAGACTTAAGTGTTTGGAGGTGATTAGTATTTGAAGACAAAAGATATTGGTTAGTAACCCCTTAAGGACCAAACTTCTGGAATAAAAGGGAATCATGACAGGTGTCCTAAAGGCGTTAAACTACATTTCGGAATCATAGACTAAATCATCTGCACAAATGTGTGGTGCAATATGATTTAAAATATGCTAGACTAAAGTCACAAATAGTTTGATAGGCATCACTTCCATTGCATTTTATTTTTTGATAAAAATGCAATTTACAGGAATGAATATAGCAAAATAAAAGCAACACCGAGGATTATTACATTCAGTATGCACCACTGCAGTCATATGCTTATACTCCTACAAATTTGTAGTCAGGAGCCATGAAATTGTCAACAAACATACATTGACATTCAGGCATACATTTTATACCAATACACATGCATTCAAACTTGAAATGCACACTAAAATATTCTTGTATTTACAAACTCAAATGCATTCTTCAATTCTCAACAAACAAATGTACCCACACATTCAGACAGATACAAAAGTTACAACGTCAAATATAAGGCTTGTGTTTCATTTTTTTCACATCAAAATTCGCCAGATTGGTTACGTTGCCTTTGAGACCCTATGGTAGCCCAAGAATGAAAATTACCCCTATGATGGCATACCATTTGCAACAGTATACAACCCAAGGTATTGCAAATGGGGTATGTCCAGTCTTTTTAGTAGCCACTTAGTCAAAAAACACTTGCCAACATTGGCGTATTTTGCATTTTTCACACACAAACAAATACTAACGCTAACTTTGGCCAGTGTTTGTGACCAAATGGCTACTAGAAAAACTGGACATACCCCATTTGCAATACCTTGGGTTGTCTACTATTGCAAATGGTATGCCATTATCAGTGTAAATTTTATTCCTGGGCTACTATACAGTCCCAAAGGCAACGTAACTAATCTGGCGAATTTCATTTTCAAATGTAACGTGCTATATTTGACCCTGTAACTTCCCAAAATGCCATAAAACCTGTACATAGGGGGTACTGTTTTACACGTGAGACTTTGCTGAATACAAATATGCGTATTTTATTGCAGTAAAAAAAAACAGTATTATGACATTGACAGTTAAAATGTCATGTAGAACTAAAAAAGTATTCTTATTTTCTCCTATTTTTTTCATATTAAATTATGTTTCATAGCTAAATAGTTATTATTACATGAAAGCCCTGTTTCCCCTGAATAAAATGATATATAATAAGGGTGGGTGCATTTAATATGAAAGAGGTGAATTACGGTTGAACGAACTGCAAACATTATTGTTGTAATATGTTTTACTGTTTTAAAACACTAATATTTGTGTTTAGTGAAGTCTCCCGAGAATAACAGTACTCCCCATGTACAGGTTTTATGGTGTTTTAGAAAGTTAGAGAGTCACATATAAGGCTTGCATTTCATTTTTTTGACATTGAAATTTGCCAGGTTGGTTATGTTGCCTTTGAGAGCGTATGGTAGCCCAGGAATGAGAATTACCCCCATGATGGCATACTATTTGCAAAAGAGGACAACCCAAGGTATTGCAAATGGGGTATGTCCAGGCTTTTTTAGTAGCCATTTGGTCACAAACACTGGCCAAAGTTAGCGTTAGTATCTGTTTGTGTGAAAAATGCAAAAAAACGCCAATTTTGGCCAGTGTTTGTGACTAAGTGGCTACTAAAAAAGACTGGACATACCCTGTTTGCAATACCTTGGGTTGTCTACTATTGCAAATGGTATGCCATCATAGGGGTAATTTTCATTCTTGGGCTACCATAGGGTCTCAAAGGCAACGTAACCAATCTGGCGAATTTTAATGTGAAAAAAATGAAACGCAAGCCTTATATTTGACGCTGTAACTTTGAAAACACCATAAAACCTGTACATGAGGGGTACTGTTGTACTCGGGAGACTTCGCTGAACACAAATATTTGTGTTTCAAAACAGTAAAAAGTATTGCAGCAATAATATCATCCGTGTAAGTGCTGTTTGTGCGTGAAAAATGCAAAAAACTTCACTTTTATAATTGTTGTGATACGTTTTCCAGTTTTTAAACACTAATATTTGTGTTCAGCGATGTCTCCCGAGTAAAACAGTACCCCCCATGTACAGGTTTTATAGCATTTTTGAAAGTTACAAGGTCAAATATATGGGTCAAATATTTTTACATTGAAAATGGCCAGGTTGGTTACGTTGCCTTTGAGAGCGTATGGTAGCCCAGGAATGAGAATTACCCCCATGATGGCATACCATTTGCAAAAGTAGACAACCCGAGGTATTGCAAGTGGGGTATGTCAAGTCTTTCTTAGTAGCCACTTAGTCACAAACACTGGCCAAATATTAGTGTTTTGCTTTTTGCACACAAAAATAAATATGAACGCTAACTTTGGCCAGTGTTTGTTACTAACTGGCTACTAAAAAAGACTAAACATACCCCACTTTCAATACCTTGGGTTGTCTACTTTTTCAAATGGTATGCCATTATGGGGGTAATTCTCATTCCTGGGCTACCACACCATCTCAAAGGTAACATTACTAATCTGGCAAATTTCAATTTGAAAATGGAACATTCTATATTTGACCCTGTAACTTTCCAATTAATGGGGGGGGGGGTACTGTTATACTTGTGAGACATCGCTGATTACAAATATGTGCATTTTTTTGCAGTAAAACCTAACAGTATTATGACATTTACAGCTAAAATGTCAGACGAAAATACAAATTAAAAAAAAAAAGTAAAATTTCTCATAGTTTTTTAAATTTTATTCATAATAAATTATGCTTCGTAGCTAAATTTGAGACCGTATGGCAGCCAAGAAATGAAAATTACCCCATCATGGCATACCATTTGAAAAAGTAGACATCCCAGGGTATTCAAAATGGGGTATGGCCAGTCTTTTGTAGTAGCCACTTGGGCACAAATGCTAGCCAAAATTAGTGTTCTGTTTTTTTGTTTTGCGTTTTTCACATAAAAACTGTACTTTTACTGAAAATATTATTGTCAGTATATAGTTTACTGCCCTGAAACACTCCAAGTTCTGTTCAGTGATGTCTCACGAGTGGCACGGTATCCAATATGTATAGGTTTTTGAATGTTACAGGGTCATATATATACGGCTTATCCATTTATGCTTTTTCACAATGAAATTTGTCAGATTAGTTTGCTGTGTCTAGGCTGTCTCTGAGACCGTATGGCAGCCAAGAAATTAAAATTACCCCTTAATGGCATACCATTTGAAAAAGTAGACATCCCAGTGTATTCAAAATTGAGTATGGCCAGTCTTTTGTAGTAGCCACGTGGGCACAAATGCTAACCAAAGTTAGTGTTCCATTTTTTGGTTTTTCTTGCATTTTTCACATAAAAACTGTACTTTTACTGATAATATTATTGTCAGTATATAGTTTACTGCCCTAAAACACTCCTAGTTCTGTTCGGTGATGTCTCACAAGCACCACGGTACCCCACATGTATAGGTTTCTATGGGTTTTGTAAAGTTACAGGGTCAAATATACGCTTGTCCATTTTTGGTTTTACACATTGAAAATTGGCAAAGCGATTTTCTGGGCCTATCTTGCATTTGAGAGAACATGGCAGCCTAAGTAATAACATTTCCCCTGTTATGGCATACCATTTTCAAAAGTAGGCAACCCAGAGTATTTCAAATGGTGCATTTTAAGATGTTTGATCTAGCCACTTTATCAAAAATGAAGGGCCCACGTAGCGGTAATAGTTTTATTTGTGCTTTTTTTCCATACATGAACTCACTTTTCACAGGACATTTCCTATTCCTGATGTGAGTTATTGCAACAAAGCCTCACTATTTTTTGGAACATTGTCTCCCGAATATAACACTACCCCGATGTACTGGATTTTCTGCTTTTTTTGGGAAGTCACAGGGACAAATATATTAGAAGTCCATTTAAAAGTTGGAAATTTGACAAAGTGATTTGCCTATGTGGCTATTTAGAGAGCATGGCAGCCTGGGTAATAACATTTCCACCGTTATGGCATACCATTTTCAAAAGTAGGCAACCCAGAGTACAACAAATGGCAGACCTTGAGATGTTTGGTCTAGCCATTTTAACAGAAATGATGGGCCCATGTAGCAATTTCTACTTTTATTTTTCTCTTTTTAATCACATAAATTGCATTTTCACTAGAAATTTCATAATCCTGGTATTAGTTAATACACTAAAACCTCAGTATTTTGATTTAACACTGTCTTCTGAATATAACGATACCTACATGTACAATATTTCCAGGTTTTTAGTATATCACAGGAATAGTACAGTACCCCCAAGTACACTTTGATCTGAAGGCAGAGAGAGGCAGATAGATCTTTGACTCAGATACTGTAGCATTAACCCTGTGATTAGTTTTTTGCTTTTTTTGTGAAGGCACATTTCAAGTACTAAAAATGTAGTATTTTGAGTTGTTTGGTGTAGCCACTTTAGAATGGCTAGCATAAACAGGCACAGGCCAAGGTCAGGGAAATCCAGAAGTCTGAGTAGTTGGTAAAACAAGCCAATGGGTCGGTACAAGCAGCTAACGAAGCATAGTCAGGAGAAGCCGAGGTCAGGGAATCCAGGGAAATTAAGCAAACAAACTGCCAAAGTACCATACAGAGTGATTTAGTAGTTCAGCTCTGTATGATAAACTTTGAAACAGTCTGTTATGCAGAGGGCGGGTAGGGATGGACAGGAGGGGCAATAATAACTGGAGTCCTTTCGGACTCCTCTTTTCCAGCAAACACAGCATTTTCGTTGGGGTGACCTTTTACAGGGTGTGGGGGGATTCGGGAAGGGAAATGTTTGCTGAAAAGTCGTTGGACATCTTCTGATTCCAAAGGAGGGTTAGGATTTGGGGTCTGGGCAAATATAATTTGAGACAAAATTTGGACCATAAACTCTAGAAATGGGCATGGTCTACCTATGGCTTCCTTTTTATAAAGCACATAGGCATTGAAAATTGCAATCTGGGTTATGTAAATTGCAATTTTCTTGTACCAGGTCCTACTCTTCTGGTTCACCAGATAGGGTTGTATGCACTGATCAGCCAAGTCTACTCCCCCCATAAACTTGCTGTAGTCTACAATGCACTTCGGCTTCTCCAACTGCTCAGCTCCACATCTCACAGACACTGGCACTGAAGTTTCGTCCTGCATTGTAGACAATATGTACACATCTTTCCTATCGGTGAAGCGGAGGGCAACCAACTCATCCTGGCTGAGCGCTGAAAGGGAGCCTCTACTGCATCTACCTCTTGCCAGGGTTTGGGGGAAACCTCTACGATTCTTACGCACTGTGCCACAGGCTACGGTCTCAAAGCAAAATAGAGTTTTAAATAACTCTATGCTTGTGTAATAGTTGTCAACCCACAGCCTGTATCCCTTATTTAACAAGGGAAGGATTAGGTCCCATACTATCTTGCCACATGTACCCACAGAATCAGGGCATCCTGGTGGGTCAAGATGGCTATCCTTCCCTGATAAATATGAAATGCCCATGTATATCCAGATTTGGATTCACACAATTTATAAAATTTTACTCCATATCGGGACCGTTTAGAAGGGGTATACTGTTTAAAAAGTAATCTACCCTTAAATTTCATTAAGGACTTATCTATACAAATATTTTCTTCAGGGGCATAATTTTGGGAGAATTTGTCTGACAGGAGTTCAATTAGGGGCCAAATTTTGTACAGCCTGTCAAACAATGGGTCGTTTCTTGGGGGGCACATTGTGTTGTCGTTAAAGTGGAGGAAACGCAGCAGCTGCTCATAGCGATCCCTCTTCATAACCCCAGGGAAAAGAGGGGTAGCCAGGATGGGGTGCTTGTACCAGTAGGACCTGATACTCGGCTTTTTGACAATGCCCATAACTAGAGTTAGGGCCCAAAATGTATGCATTTCTGCGAGATCCGTGGGGTGCCACATATTACACCGATTATAATGTGACCCCGGATTCGCAGTCAGATATCGGTTGGCAAATAAATTGGTTTGCTCAACCATTAAACGAAATACTTCCTCTGACATGAAAAAAATCTAAATATTTTAGGGGCTCCCAAGCATCCACCATAACAGTGATGCCAGGGGTCGCCATAAATGGGGGAATATCTGGGGCCGTCAGGTTTGGGGGCACCCAGTCTCCTTCTGACATTGGACTTGCTGAGCGTCCTCTTGTTGTTGGTGGTGTTGGGGCACCATCACTAGAGGAGTCAGTCATAGCCTCAATGTCAGAGGCAGTTATAGTGTCACTGTCTTGCAGAGTGTCACTATCACTGCCTGCCAGAATGGCGTATGCCTCCTCGGCCGAGTAGCAACGTGCCATTCTAGGGGGGACTACTCAATAATTAATCAAAAAAATCTAAGGGGGAAATTATAAAATTCCTACCTGCCTAACACCCTACTACCCACCCTCAAAAACCCACAAAAAATAAAATAAATGTACTGATCGCAGTTTAGGCTGCTGCGACCAGTACAGAAAGAGTTAATTTTTATTTTATTTTTTGTTTTTTTAATAAGAATAACCCCCCCAAAAAGTCAGCCTGATCAGAGAGCCCTCTGATCACATTGATCACTGGTACAATACTGTACAGTAGCGATACTGTACAGTACAGTGATCACGGCAGCGGGGAAAGGGTTAAGGATGATTTGGGTTGCTGCGGCTGACAAAGGGTCAAAAAAAATAAAAAAATATTTTTTGACCCTAAAAAAATAAAAATAATATTAGTACAAATGTACTAAAATCCCTAAACAGGCTGATCACAGTGTTAAATGCTGTGACCAGCACTGGAATGGGTAATTTATTTTTTTTTTTTTACTTTTTCTTTATTTTATACAATTCTCTCTCCTACAGGGCTCTCCAGCAATGATCTCTCTTCCTCTCTCTCTCAGATCAAAGTGAGGTAAGGAGAGGGGCAGAGACAATGTATCAGCTAGTTATTTAAAATCATTGGCTGACACATTGTAACAGTGATCGCAGTGACTGGCTGTCACTGCGATCATAAACTGCAGATCACCACGGATTGGCCACAGTGATATGCAGTTTGGGAGGGATTGGGGCAACGTGGGTGGGCTTAAATGCTGCGGCGTGCTATGCCGCCATGAAGGCGTTTAATCCCATTAACCCTGGGATGGCATAGCATGCCGTAACGGCATTAATGGGTTAAGGTGTTAACCTTTCTTTATAACTAAAATACTCCATTCACATAACAATGTTGTAGACAAACTCTGCACTTTTTCTAGTACCATAAGAGCCTTTTTTAAAACAGCTGAAGACATTGAACAGTATGTTAAAGTTGGGGTCTAACTAGTGATTTATAAAGAGGCAAAATTATATTTTTTCTGTCATATGGTGGCAGTAACTGAAGGGTTATACTTCTCTCTGTGGACAAGACATCTAGCAATTAAAATTAAAAAGGACCCTCCCCCTTTCCCTATAAAGTGTGATACCTCTCAGATATTCCCCAGTCTTCTTTCTTGTCCCGAGAGGGAAGGACAGGACATCCACAGGGTGAGACACACGGGTTGTTGGTCTGGGGGACCCGGTCCGAGAGCTGCCCGGGTGGTAAGCTGAGTGACCATGCTCCTAACCGATATGGTTACGGAGCAAGTGGAGAGAGACCCTTTTATGCCGAGAATGGTTCCGGCATTACTTCCTGGAGCTGGAGCTCTGGCCGAGCATGCGCACAGCGGTGGAATGTACGCCCAGGTGGTGATTGCGTTCCACCTAGCCTTCCGGGTGCGCAAACACGCATGCGCATACTGGAGCCTTAAAGAGATATACGGAAAAAAAAAAAACGCGAAAATTTAAACCGGTAGTTATAAGAAGCTGTGCAGTAACTACTGACTGCATGGATGCAGGTCAGAAGTGGTACACCGTGTCACCTGCCCCCCACACGGATCAGAGGTATTTTGAGGTGAGATTTAAATTGATCTTTACTTTAAAATATTCTCTGAATATATTCTTTCAATTTTAAAGCTTTAAAACCTGCTTTTCATATGTTCTTCACAGATATGTCTAGCCCAGCTTATCAGGACATGGACAAAGAAAAGCTGGCTGCTGCTACGCCTAGAAAGGCTACCGTAAAATCTAAACATTTAGTTTGCAGTGAAAGTGCAACACCTCTCCCAGATGGATCAAGGAAGAAAATGTGCAGAAAATGCATTTGGCTAATGAATACCTTTTGGCCAGAAGTGTAGGAGGAAGGCTCCAACAATTTTATTCTGTATGGGAAAACACCACCAGGAATCCTTGGGTGCTAAATCTTATCCAAAAAGGACACAAGATTATATTTTCAGAAAAACCAAGAACAAAATTTCTAGTATCCACATAGCAGTCTGCAAGGAAATCACAAGCTCTGTTTTGTCAAACCATGCTGCTGTTACGAAAAAGAGTGATAGAAAGAGTGCCAGTAAAACAAAATTTTCGGGGGGTCTATTCAAGGTTATTTCTGGTGCCAAAACCAGATCACTCGTTTCGTCCCATTCTGGACCTAAAATACATAAATCAATGTATCCCCTATCACAGATTTCGTATGGAGTCAATCACGTTGATTTTTCCCCTTTTACAAAGAGGCGACTTTATGGCAAAAATAGATTTAAAGGACGCCTATCTTCATGTTCCAATCGCGACCGCTTCAAGAAAATTTCTGAGGTTTGCTATAAAAAAGGGAAGATCCACCATTCATTTCCAGTTCAGGGCTCTACCATTTGGTCTGTCTTCCGCCCCAAGGATATTTGCAAAGATCCTTACTCCTCTAACAGCTCATTTCAGAGAGTTAGGGATTTCAATTATCCCTTATTTGGACGATTGGCTCCTCGTTGCTCATACAGAAGAACAGCTGCACAAGGACCTGCAGGTCACTTTAGGTGTTCTTCAAAATCATGGCTGGATCTTAAACAGAAACAAATCGGTACTCATCCCCACGAGAGAGTTAACATTTCTCGGTTTCACAATAAATTCAGTCTACATGTTAATTTTTCATCCCAAGCGGAAAAGGAGGAAAATCAGAGAAGAAATTTCCAATCTCCAAAGGATGGAAACTTGTTCCTTCAGACAGGCAATGGGTGTTTGGGGTCTTCTAATTTCCACCTTTCCAGCTGTCAAATGGGCAAGGTCGGAGGTCAGACCATTGCAATGGAATATCTTCACTGCCTGGTCAAAAAAGGAGGAAGATTTAGACTAAATATTCAAGCTATCATCTCATGTAAAATATCAGCTAGCTTGGTGGAAAACGTCAGAATGCCTTTCAGGAGGATTGTCTTTTCAACCAAGGGATTGGTTGGTAGTCACTACAGATGCCTCAAGCACAGGCTGGGGAGCTCACTTAGGTTCCACCATGTTCCAAGGAAGATGGTCATCAGAAGAAGCCAAAGAATCCGCAAATTTCAAAGAATTGTTAGCAGTACTCTACGCACTACTTCAGGCCTCGGATACTACAAAAAGTGGTGATGATACAATCAGACAATCGCACAGTAGTCTCATATATCAATCGTCAAGGAGGAACCAAAGTAAGGAAGCTGTTCCGTCTTTGTGTAGATATTATGCAATGGTCACAAAAAAACCTGGAAGATATCAAAGCAGTTCACATAAAAGGCAGCGACAATATAATAGCCGACGATCTAAGCAGAGGAGAGTGGGACCAAAAAGAATGGTCTTTGAACCCGGAAATATTCCGTTATATGGTCACTCATGTGGTCTTCTGATTGGGTGCCCACCATGGGGGATAGGCAACCCAACTATTTACTTATGGTGACAATTGTTTTTCATTACTTATGTCATTGTTTATGCATTTTTTGTTCTTTGAGATCACTGGATTTAATTTCATTTATTGAGCTCCCATTTAAGGATGGATTGAAGGGATATGAATCCCATGTGGATATAGTACCCTCTGGTGGTCAGCATGAGTATGCTTATCTTATTACAATTGGAATGTCACGCCCTCTAGTGGTTGTACTGAGAGGGAAGGCTCTAACTATCTCTGTTAACCATCTCAGCAGTGGTTAAATTATCT